GTGAAACTTATTTCTAGGAGTGGTCCGAGCACGATGTTCGAAATCTCGCTACGTATTTTATAGTATTTATATCGGTGACTATGAACACATTTATATTGTGTTATATCGGTGAACTGCTAACAGAACAGGTATCAGAGACTCTTTACTTGCGAAAATGTCTATCAATCAACACCGAGAAATCGACGATTAATCGAATGAATTGTTCACAGTGTATGAAAGTCGGTGAGATAGTTTATATGACAAACTGGTACAGTTTACCCATAAGAAAAATGCTCGACTTGATTTTGATCATCGCACGATCGAGTGTGGTCATTGAAATGACTGCAGGGAAGATAATTCAGATGTCTATTTACACGTTTGGTGATGTAAGTCGCAATGTGTCTAAGGGTATGCATGGCTCTTTGAAAAATTATGAAACTTGTTATTCCAGGTGATGAGATTGGCCTTCGCCTACCTCAATATATTGATTCAAATTACGTAATTAACGAATTCTTAATGAATTCCTTACCTGAATACTTTAGTAAGTGAGTAATGTTGTAGAATTTGAAATACAAATATATTCGTAACACACTTTGATGTCTTATCAGTATTAACATTCTTCTCATATTTTGTAATATCACTGAGACTGTACGTTGTCAAATCATTCGACAATACTAAATTCAAGCCTCGGAGATGGGGTTGCACGCCAACGACAGGGTGGCACAGACTAAACCCTTCCACACGCAACTCAATTCGACCGCAACAAAAAAAAAAACCAGACTGAAAAACACAGACGAAACTATAATTCATAGCGTGCACGGCAATAATTTCCTATAAGTTTACCTTCGTGTTGTCCCGAAAATAAACTTTACCGACTAGACGAATCGATCCACGGACAATTACCGCCATGAACGAAGTAGAAAGTTGCGCAAGTGTTACTATACACTCGGCGAGTATAGTGATACTTCTCTCCACTCAACAACGACTTCATTCCACGATGACAAACCAACCTGCGACTAACGGTAAGGCCCACAGCGACTACAGTCTTCAGTTGAATCGTTGGCTTCTGAAGACGATCGGTGCATGGCCCTCGTCTTCCTCCACCACCAGGCTCGAAAAGATTGTTTCGTTCGTTCTAAACATCGTCTGCTACAGCTCCTTAGTGCTCGCCACGATTCCCAGTCTGCTACGAATGCTCCTAGAAGACGAGAGCATTTACCTGAAAGTGAAGTCGCTGGGTCCAGTGAGTCACTGGATAGTCAGCAGCATTAATTACACGGCTTTGTTGCTGCACAGTAAAGATATACGACAGTGCGTGGAACACATGGAAGATGACTGGCGAACAGTGGCCAAAGAGGCGGATCAACAGACGATGATGAAGAACGCGAAGTTCGGTCGCTACGTGGCAGTTTCGTGCGCCATTTTCATGCAGGGTGGCGTTCTCGCGTTTTTTTTCGTGACGGCGTTGAACACGGTGGAGGTGCAAGTCGGGAACGAGACGAGGATGTTGCACATGTTACCCTGTACAGTGTACAAGAAACTGGTAAACGTCGACGAAAGTCCATCGAACGAGATCATGCTTCTGTTGCAATTTTGGGCCTCTGTTATTGCCAACTCTAGTACAGCCAGTATTTTCAGCCTGGCAGCTGTTCTAGCTGCTCACGCGTGCGGTCAGTTGAACATAGTTATGAGATGGATCACAGAGTTCGTCAACGAATCCAGGAAGATAGATCGTTTCAAGGGGATGGGAGTTATCGTAGAACGACACTTGAGAACGCTGAAGTAAGGTTTTTTTCTATACTTTCTTTCGTTGACTTTTTTTTTGAGAGTGGACATTACATGTAGGTTACGTTAATTGTAGTTTCATTGGCCATATCGAGAATGTGATGAATAAAATATACTTTTTAGAGATGTTCAGATGCACGATGGATATATGCAATCTTAGCTACTACATTCTTTCGGTATATTAAATGTGCTTTTATTCATTATTGTTTATGTCATATATGCAGTGTCTAGACGAGGCAAGAAGTATTTGCACATTATTTATCACAGCATCGAATATTTATTAAATCGAAGTATATTAAATTTCATATTATTCAGTACTAGTTTCACAAAACTATAAAAATTTGGTTAAAGACCTAATAAAATAGGACCTAATTTAAAAAAAAAAGAGCTTCAATAGAGAACGAAGGTATATAAAGAACGTGCAAATATTTTTTGCAGCCGATAATTACTTTACTCTTTTTGTCTCTTAGGAATGGGCCGATCAAGATATTCAAAATCTCGCTACCTACATTGTGATATACATTTCAATCTGTTTCAACATATTCGTGATATGTTACATAGGTGAAATACTGACAGAACAGGTAGCTCGCCATTAATATCTGATACCAATGAAACAGATTGAAGATCGTAGTTACTGATTAATTGAATTTTTGTACAGTGCAGGAAAATTGGTGAGGTAGTTTACATGACTGACTGGTACTACTTACCCGACAAAATAATCCTCGACTTGAATTTGATCATCGCGCGATCGAATGTGGTTGTTCGTATAACTGCTGGAAAATTTGTTCACATGTCCGTGCATACATTCGGTGATGTAAGTTAATCTGGCTCTCACGTATACGTGCTTGTACGAATCCTTTTCACCGTGAAATGTTCCATCGTTCCAGGTGGTAAAGACTGGTTTCGCATATTTGAATCTGTTACGACAAATGACGTGATTAAATGACTTTCATAAGCGAGGCGGTATAGAATTTGATATACAAATAATAGTAACGCAACGATAAGGTATGTTTTTATC